ATGCCTTTCATCTATGAAGATCTGTATGGAAAAGCACTGGCAATAATCAATTGAAACCACAGAAAAGATCAATGAGTGAGTTTTCTGAAATTGAAATGCTTGCTGAGTTTTAAATGATGAAGAATTATATCACTCTTTAATTCATCAAAGTAAATTATCTTATTTTCTTTTCTAAGTCAATAGCAAAATTACTGCATTTCTTTTTTGATATCAATGTATATCTACAGATCAATCAAATCAGAGTTTCATTAGAATTACATGCTCAATATATCAGAGTTGAAAATAATGATAGTCATATATGATTGATGCAAAGCATTGATTATTAATTTTCAAATGACTTCCAAATGAGAATAAATGTATCAACAGTTTTAGAAAGAATTTAAAAATTCAAAAAATTTATCTCATTGCTTTTTCTTTTATATAAAAGATGATAAAGCAGCTGAAGTTTCTGTGCTAAAAGTAATTATAAAGAATGGCTGAATCTTTTACAAAATCATTGATATTTAATGATTTGTTTCTCTCATCTGTGTATGTTTTTTTTCTCAAATTCAATTTTCACTCTGCCTCTTATTTCTCTAATTCATTTTTGATTCAGAATCTTCTTTTTCAGATTTTCAATCTTTTGCTTAGATGACTCTCATGTTTTATATATACAATTTCAAATCATAAATACCACAGCATTTTAAATCATTCTCACTGTATAAATGCTTCAATTCTCACATTTCAAAATGCAGAAAAATCTCTTTCCCAATTTTACATTATGATATCTCTTTCAATACTCTGCTGCTTTTCAAACATGATGTTTTTTTAAAACTACTGATTGAAATTTACATGTTTATCAGCAGTAATATTCAGCTGTGTGTGCTGTTGAATCCCCTCTCTCAATCAAAAAAAATGTTCATATCATCATTTAGTTCAGAGAATTCTCAGTATAATGTATCATTTTTTTATGATTTAAGATATCACATTCTGCATTTATATTTCATCTCTATTTATGATATTCAAGATAATATTTCTAATACACTGATTGAATTGTCTTCTTTTGAAAGAGGCATTATAAAGGTTGATTCATCATCATTAAGTATAATCTGTTTAGATGATAGTTTAAAAGCTTTTTTTAAATTCTCAAACCTTCAAAATAACATTTTCATTGACTGAATGATTTTTATCAATAATGTATTTTGAAATATTAATGAATTTCACTGATTTGTTCAGTAAAATGATGATTTTGTAAATTTAAAAATTATTTATTTATATTCTGAATCTTTTCTGTTTATATTTTGTGATATCTTTAATCATTATCAAGGATTCTGAAAAAGATCTGATGATTGAAATAGAAATTCTCAAACAGATAATGATATTTATATTCTGAATCATTAATAGATTCACTTCATTCATTGCAATATTGACATCAATGTATTATGCTTTTACAGTATAAACAATGATTTTGTAAGGTGTTATGACAGTGTGAAGAGTGAATAGTAGAAAATAATATGTAGTGTAGTAGAAGATAATAGTAATAATAATTATAGTAGTAGTATAGTTGAAGTTGTAGTTGTAGCTAATCGCTGAAGAGGAAAAGAAAGAAAAAGAAGATGTGCGAAATACATGCATCCATATATATATACATATAGAAATAGTGGTAGCGAGAGTATAATGGAAAGAGATAAGAATAGACGAAGATATAAATAAAGATAATATAATAATAAGGAAATAATAAACGAGTGCATTATAGATTTCTTCAGTGATGAACAGTTTAGAAAATGTAAGCAAGAATTATAATAATTAAAAAAATTAATTGTAAAACAGTTTTATATTATTTCTATATCAGCTATGAAAGATTTCTTCGCAGCTTTTCACTTTCATTTTCTATTATTATAGCTCAATGAGCATCTGCAGTTTCTTTCTTAATTGTTTGAAGATGTTTTGATAAATTATATATCTCATTTAACATCAGCAATATGAGTGAAAGATGAGAATGTGTAGTCAATTAGTCATTCAGCTTCTCACAAATCTGAAGAAAGTCAACATAAGCACAGTAAGAGGAAAAAGAGTCACAGTGACAAGCTGTGAAAATGACTCTTTAAAAATGATACACAGTTTTTAAATATGATGAAAAAGCACTGACTTTGACTGAAAGTAAAGAAATGTTTTTTACAAAGAATGAAATCAATGCTGCATCAATAAATGTTTACATTTCAGAAATAAGAGAAAGGAATGTATACAGTTAAATCTGCTGATGTCACAGTCAAATCTGCAATTTTAAAGAGTAAAAAATGTAATGCTAATCCATGTCCATGTCCATGAAAGTGATATTATGATCAATCATAAGATAGACTTAAGGTGGCCCCTCCTAGCCGTTCATTAATGGCTCATCAAATTGCCATGCGATCCCCTCTTCTACTGTACGCAGCCACAGCTGAATGATACCTGCCCTCTTGTCCCTCCCCATGATGATCTGTATATGACAGCTGTGGAAGGAATGTCATTTCAGTATGAGTTCTATTTTCAGACTTTGCTCTCAGATGTTGTTGGCTGCTGCACTGTGCTTCAATGCATGAGGAGAGCAACCTTGGAACCTGAGATGAGCACCCCATGACTGCCCCCCATTTTCTTGGTATATATAGAGGGCTCCCTTCCCCTCCAGCTCCATCGTTCTTCTCACTCCTAAGCCTAACCCGAGCGTCCCCGGTCCTGGTTGGCAGCCAGAGCGACATCCCGCATCAACGCCCCTTTCCGCCATCCTGATACGCAAGCCATACGTCAACGGAGAGGTAAAATCCCGTGACCTCTCCTTGGGCCGTTGGGGGCATATATATGGCCTTCTCCCCCCACCTCTGACTCCATATTTCTTTCAATTCCTTTTCCACTCTCCATCCACCGTCGCAAGAAACTCACCGAGGGGTCCGGTTTGCGTGGCCCCAAGGCGACCCAACATCAACGAGCGTGTTCAGCCATGGCTTCTACCGAAGCTGAACCACGTAGCACCATCATCATCGACGACGACGATACAGATGCAGAGACGGACGCACCTCGGTCCCTGCCGCGAGATCTCCGGAGAAAGAGACGCCTTGTGGACTATAAGCGAACCGGAGTATGAGGCTCTGTTTGATGGCCCAGCGCTCCTCAATTCCTCCGTATCCACAACATTATAGCCGCTGGAGAAACGCACAATGCCCAACCTGAAGGTAGTTCTGGTAAGATTTTTCTCCCATCCGAGCCGGACTTGCCCTTTGCTGATATTAGGATAGGCGACAGCATATCAAGAAATTCACACCATATTTGAAGCAGAGTCCGCGAAGATCAGGGACCTACAAGAAGAAGTGCAGCGCCTGCAGAAGTGGAACACCGAGCTAGAAATCAAACACCGTGCAGATCAACAAGGAGATCCGCAGGCTTAAGGCTGAGATCATCGAGCTGCAGCATCGATGCCGATGCTCAATATGCTATACCATCCCTTCAGAGTGGAAAACCCTCCTGTGCAGACACGGGGTCTGTCCAGGGTGTCTCTCTCCTGAGCCAGAGCCCTGTGGATCATGTCGTTGAAAATTTCACTGGCTATATAAAGAGTTATTAGGTAGCAAATGCTTTGTCTGCAGCACTAGATTCGTACGATCGTAGTTTTGTAATAGGGACATTGGTAGGAGAAATGGTAGAGCCTTTATATTTGGAACGCGTCTGGGAAAAGTTCGAGTGGTTCAATGCGCCTGAACCGGGAAAGCCAAGACAAAGGAACAGGGGTGAAACGCAAAGAGAACAAGGGCTCTGGATCAATGAGGATTGATAGCGGTCCGCCTGCCTTGGCACCAAAGCCTCACCTATTCATAAGAGGACGGCCCATCCCTCCGGTACACTCCATCCTCCTTTTTCTCTTCTTTCCTTTAATTTTCAGTCCCGTCCCGCCTGGCCTCTCAACCTACACTGGACTTCAATTCGTTTACTTTACCTTGATGTCATTTACCCTAATGACACCCTTTCTCCCCGCCGAACTCATACTGCATATCCTTCAGCATGTACTGGATGTCCCCAGTCTCTTTTTCAGCAATCCTGACCTGCAAACACATTTACGCAGTGTTCGAAGCCCATAAAGATCACATCATGGAATCACTATCCCAGAATGAATGGGGCGACACACAACTCTATAGACATGTGAATGAGGGACTGAGGCCTAATGTACCGTGGAGTGGGTGCAAAGGTGAAAGAGAGGCCCGCAGAGTCCTGACAGGTTTTCATGGTCAACATTATCGATTTCTCCAGAGAGACCACCAGATGGTTCTTTGTGGCCATATGGCAACTGTTTCGATCGACCAATGCTGAGGAGATACTTATACCGGTAGCGATACGCCTTGCCCAAACGTTTGTGCAGGCGGAACGAAAACCAGAAGCTGTCAGGCTACTTCAGGCTATCTGGAACCGCGAGCCTCCATTTATGTACACAACCCGCCCTCCAACGCTGTTCCCTCTGGGGAACCAATTGATGGGCCTACTTGGCCAAGAGCATAGACACTTCTCATCGCTGCAGAAGTCGACTGCTGAGATGAAGTGAGAATTTCATTTTTTGCCGGTGGTGAAAATTGGGCAGCAAAATTTCTATGAAGTTGAAGATCTTGAAGCTCTTACTTTGCCTGACGCAGGCTTTGAAAAGGATGGGATCCAGTTTTGTTATCCCCGTGAAAAGCGCAATAAATTCCAAAGGTGCTATCTTCAACAAAAAAAAAAAAAAAAAAAAAGGAACTTGGCTGGATCCTGCTCCGGTGCTGGTAAAGGTCGGAGAAGAATTCTTGGAGTGAGGTGCCCATGCTTTCCACGCTTGCTATGTAGCTTAGTTGTAAATATCTCTGGATCAGACTCGAGAGGAATGTAATGCTTTTTGTAATTCATATTGCGTATTGCTGGACTAAAAATGGCTACGGCCAATATGTACATCTCGTCAGACTAATTGAAGAACGTGAACATGATAAATACTATTTTCGTGCATGTTCATACAGAGGGGGTAAGAACACCGTAGACCTTATCATGTTCGACGTTGATAAGCTCTCAACCCCCAGGTTCTCCGACTAGGAAGAGATGATTGAGTAACTTGGTGGTTGGCATTCGCCTTTGAGGGTTTTGCTGTAGCATCAACCAAAGAAATGATGCAAGGTGCTCTACATTCTCAGCACCGAAATCATATGGGAGCCTCTCTGTCAGGTGTTTTGTAAGGTTCTCATGCCCCTGACCATTCTTACCAAGGAGCTGGCTAATACGGTAAGCGTGCTCTTCGTCAATCTGTTCCGCCGTGAGGCCAAAGGATCCCAAGGGAAATAATGGCTCGTTTGTTGCCAATTCAAATACCTTTGCACAAAGATTAGATGGGAAAACTGGGTTTGGGTGCAGGGGGAGCATACCAAGCAACCCAAGGCCCAGATATCGATCCTAGCATCCCAAGTATTTCGGTGAATTAGCTCGGGTGCACGCAAAGCTGTCGGCGTTACCGGCCACTGATCACATTGTCGACTCCATGCAGCTAGGTAATGATATGAGTTCTTGTACCAGGTTTGGGATATAACAAAGGGTGCATCATACCTCCACCCAGATCACCAATCTTAACCAAGATCGTGGTGTGGTCTGCGTCGTCCAGTTCGCCCCGGCGTCTCTGTGTAGCCATCAAATATTTCGGCGCACTATCATTTACGTTCGTTCCTTCTAGCCACCTAACAGGACTGAACTCCGGGGGCTGCAAGAACGCCTCGGTGTGCGCAGCCCCAACAATTGAAAACAGAACATTGGCAGGTTGTAGATCTGCATTAAGTCAGGGTACTAACAACTTTCATGCCTCAGGCGCTGACCTACCGCAGTGAGTGATGCCTAGCTTATGAAGAAAGTCGACACCCAACAAGACTTGTTTGGAAATAGCTCGCACGTAGGCTGCCTGGTGCATCCGTTGACGCTTATTACTTCACCGTCGGATATCATTGCAGGGAGCACTAGACACAAGTGTGTCCCATTTGGGCCATCATGCTCGAAATAATCCAGAAGTTCGATAACATGCCCTTTGCCAGGATGATCTAGGCCCGGAGCAGATAATTTAAGGAGCATAGCAAGCTCTTTATTGTTTCTGGAAACATCCGCTTTCAGTATCTTCAACGCAACATGTCGCTGGAGCCTTAAATGGAGTGGTTAGTTCTCATTGGGGAAAAATGGTCTGCTGGGAGAGACTCACAATTGGTCATGTGTGAGCCATACTGTTGAGAATTGGCCAAACGCCAACTTTCCAATTACCTCGTACCTCTCATTGAATACATCGTGGAGGTGTACCGGATGATAGCCTCCCTGGCGATACTCTTCAACGGGCTCAACGATGTCATGGATTCTCTCGAAACGCCGCATTCTGAATCACAGGTAACTGGTCTGGGCAAAGAACATATCCAGGACGGTTGGCTCAAGTCCATACCAGATTTTCAAGAGGAGGGATGTGGAGGGTTATCTCAGCATGCTCAGCCTCTTTTCTTGATATTTTCAGATTAGTGCGATCAACTAAACTTCTTTAGACTTCTGCCAAGTCCTGCTAACTTCTGGACCAATCAATTACTCCACACATGCTCACAATATAATATCTTGTAGAGAGTCTGAGAAGAAACAGTTTCATCATCTGTGGAAAATCAAACCTGCTCATACAAAATATTCAGTTGACTTCAGAATCATACATCTATCTTAAATATTTATCTGATCATCATCAAATTGATATTTTTTAAATTCTTAATCATTTCATTATCATTTCTACTATTTTACAACTTGCTATCTCTTCTCATCATGTCACAATCATTGATCAAAAACACTGTGTCTTTTGAATCTCAAGACACTCAATATCAGACACAGTTCAATCAATATTCTTCATCATTTGAAGATGAATTTTTTCAACAACTACTACACTCTTTCAATGATCTAGATAATGAATATGAGATATCGGATAATGGTTTAATAGATTTTAAATTTATTAATATTTCTTAAAAATTCAAGATCACTGATATTAATATCTTATTAACTTATTCACAATCAAATATTCATGACTCACAGCATCTGCTTACTATGCCTTATAATCAACAAAAAAAACATTCAAAATTATCTCACATTATCAAAACATTACAACAAAATGATTGAAGAATGAAAGTTTTTATAAATGCTTGAATTCAAAATTCTGATATCTTGATTCATAAATAATATCATACTTCTGCAAAGCAGCGGAATGCACTATATTAAGCACTCTTAAAGTCAGAAGCGTTTTATAATCATCATCATTATATCATCTTGCTTAAACAGAAGCTGAAATATTTTATCAATACTTCATATTTTACAAAATTCAATTATGATCTTGATCTTGATATCATTGATTTTCAAACTGCTTATGAGATCATCTGAATTGATGCATTAATCTGATTTAAGCTGCTTATTTCTGTTCTAAAGAATAAACATGCATATTGAAAGAGTTATAAATGAGTCTCAGATGAAACAACAGCTATCAAACAGTTATTTATTATTATGAATATTATATATCACTTTTATTTTTTGAAAAATTTAAACTTTTTCAGCTCTATTCTTTTTGCATATTTTCATGATTCAGAAGTAAAACAATGAATGATAGAAACAATTTTTAACTTTGAACTCTATCTCAGCTATATGATGAGAAATAAAAAGATAGTTATTTTTTTATTTTCAAAAGTCACAGCAGCAAAAGCTGATACTATAAATCATTTAATAATTCAAGAGCTTTATTCAGTACTAAAAGATGAGCTCTTTGAATTATTCTTAACTCTTTTGAAATATGGGTATTATTTTAAGTGCTGGAAGCATGCTGTTGGAGGTATTTTGTCAAAACCCAATAGAAAACCAATTATTCCTAAATCTTATAGAGTGATATCTCTGCTGAATTGTCTGGGAAAAATTTTAGAAAAGATAATTGCAACTAGACTGTCTTTTCCATCTACTACTGATTTATTATATGATGATCAGATGGGAAGTAGAAAGCAAAACTCAGCAATTGATGCAGTTCTCTCTGTAGTTTATGATATTCAACTTGCAAAGAATGAAAAAATGGTTACAACTGCAATGTTTATTGATATAAAAGATGTATTTGATTATGTTTCACTTTCTCAAATGATTAAAACTTTGATAGAACTGAGAATGCCAAAGTCTCTCATTAAGTGGGTTGTCTGTTTCATATCAAAAAGAACTATTCAATTGCTTTTTGATGGAATGAGACAAGATATAACAGATATTGAGATAGAAGTTCCTCAGAGTTCCCCAGTCTCACCCATTTTATTTACTATATTTATTAAGTTTCTGTTTATTGATAGATAAATGGCAATTATGGTGAGAACTCCAAGCTATGTAGATGATTTAAGTCTAGTTGTAAGCTCAGAATCAATTGTAAATAATTGCAATTTGATTGAGCAAGCAGCAACTGAAATGATTGAAAAAGCAAAATCAAAAAACATTGTTTTTGATATGAATAAAACTGAATTAATTCACTTTTATCCAAATTTCAGAGAAAGAGATACTGAAGTTAAGCTTTTAAATCATTCAGTTAAATCAAAAAATTCAGTTAGATGGCTTGATGTCTGATTAGATTCTCAATTAAATTTTAAATCTCATATTCAGATCAAAGTTGCAAGTGCTGAAAGAATCTTAAACAGTATTTTGAGACTTTCAAATACTGAAAGAGGCTTGTTTTTTCAAGCAATGAGACAATTATATATTGCTTGTATAAACTCTGTTTCAGACTTTGCAGTTTAAATATGGTGGAAAAATCAAAAGAGTTTTTTTGTAAAGAGGTTTCAAAAGCTTCAAAATTCAGCTTTAAGAAAAATATTGAGAGTATTTAAAACCTCTTCAATTAAAGCCATAGAGATTGAAGCTTCTCTACCACCACCATAAGTGAGATTTGATAAAATCTATATGAATTATGCTCTCAGAATTATGAAGTTATATCCCAATCATTCAATTAGAAAAAGAGTCTCAACTTCTTTTTCAAGTGAATCAACTGGAGTAGATTTGAATTGGGAGTCATATTTTGATTGTAATAAAATAAATTCATTTAATAATTCAACATCTGTGCAAAGAAAGAAGATACCATCTCAGTTATTTAGAATTTGCTCCATGATTAAAGACAGTTTCTGTAGTTTAAATATAGAGAAAATGGTCTTTGAAAATCTCTCTCCTTGAAAGAAAGATCTTGTCAGTCTTATTGATTTAAATATTAGTCAACTTTCAAAAGAAGTTCAGACTGAACAACATTTAAATCGTCTAAAACAAATGAGAAACAAAGCAATTCTTATATATACTGATGGCTAGAAATGTGAGAAAACAGGCAATCTTGGAGCTGGAATAGCATATTCAAAAAATGATAAAAACTATATTCTTGATTCTTGGCAAATTGGAAAAGAGTCAGAAGTTTTTAATGCTGAATTATTTGCAATTTCAAGAGCTTTCAAATTGGTTGAGATGAAGATTGAACAATGGAAAAGATTTGAGCATGTTTGGATATTCTCTGATAGTCAAGCTGGGCTTAAAAAACTTCAAAGTAATAAAATCAGCAGTGGACAGTCAATGCTAGAGCTGATTTTGAAAAGTCTTTAAAATATTCAAAGAAAAATCTCATTCAATTGTTCTATTCATCTTCACTGGGCGCCTGCTCATATGGGTATATATGGCAATAAAATGGCTGATAAAGTTGCAAAAAAAGCAACTGAATTGAAAGTCTACTTTCAAAGAATTGTAACATGGGTTTATATTAAGAGAAAAATAAGAGAATCATGTTTGCAAAAATGGCAAAATATCTGGTTTTTACAAAAAAAGAGTGTATATTATTCCAGGTTTGAAATGAAGCCAAAATAGAAAGCTTGCTCAATAAAATGTAAAAAGAAACTTTTTGCTACAATAATGCAGCTAAAACTTGGACATGGTTATTTTAAATCATATTTAACAAAGATTAGAAATGATTTATGTGATTTATGTTCAGATTATCAGTTATATGAAAACCCAGAGCATCTTCTTTTACTTTGTACAAAGCATACAGAGTTAAGATTGAGATTGAGAGAGAAGTTTGAATTAACACTGTTAAATTTAAAACTTTTATTCAATACAAAAACTGGAAATGAATTCTTGATTGAATATTTGAAAGAATCAAATATTGCTACAAGATTTCAATTGAATAGTTTGATTTGATAATGAATTCAATTTTTGTTTTTTTTTTTTTTTTTTTTTTTTATTTCTATGTATTTGCTTTAATTTTTATTCTTGTTTTTATTTTTATTTTGTTACTTTTGCTTTGAAATTTATTTCATTTTGATTACTTTTGATTTTGACTTGTTTTGAAAAGTTTGATTTGTAAATGCTTTCTTTTCTTTTAATAGCTGCTGTTTTTTATACTTGTAATATGACGGCGCCGAGGCGATTGCTACTCGGCAGCGGCACAGAGGAGGATGGTATATAATGGGAAGCCTTATGGGTGGGTTTGATTATCTCGCTTGAACCGCGAACTAGTAAAATACTATATAAATACTGAACTACCAGAGGTACTCGGCACACTAAGAATATTGTATAAGGACAGTGGTAACTCTGGTATCTTCTTGTCAAAAGATAAAAGACGAATCGCTGGCTCCTAGAATAGAGAGCCAGCATCTAGCTATTCTATATAGACAACGGGCAGCCATCCTCCCCTCACTCTATGAGCGAGGGTAGCCGAAGCAACTCCGCAGTGGCGCTGCATTGATCTGCCAGAAGGAATCTACTGACCCCGTATAGAAACAGGATTCTCATAGCCTATCAATTGGATCCTCTTCTATTGCATCCGAATGATGTCATAAGGTGGTTGAAAACCGGTTCGGACACCTGCGTGACGTCATGGGATAGATGGGATTATCCGAGGGGAAGCGATAGGCCGTGTAGAGCCGTCACGGGGCCTTGGCACAACCAAGGGTGTGACAGAGATATAATTATTGAGGCTTGAGCATGTTCTTGAAGCTGATACTTCTTGAGATGAGTTATCAGTGACTGTAAATGATTTCAACTGTGAGAAAAAGAGAATGTCTATAATATTCAGAAGTATTCTTGCTAACTATACAGTGACAAGACAGAGCAGATCAGTAATGAATGTGAAATCTCTGAAATTTCAGCAAACTCACTATGATATAAATCAGAAGGGAAAAAAAATATCAAATTCAAATTTGAGTATATTTGAAAAAGAGACATTATTTGTGCTGTCATATTTAGTCTTGACACATTTGCTTTCTGCATGTGGGATTCGGCAGATCATTCAGTTTAGACTGAAGATGTTGTGATAGTAAAATTGACTGTTATTGCATAGATTGTAGTTCAGATTCAGCTGATTTTTGTCATTAATAAAGCAGCTTCAGTATGATCTGCTTGCTATTGACTCTTTAATTCCTGCATTGCTATTTTGCTGTAGTATATCTCTGAGAAATGTCATGCAAAATGCAACCACTCTCACTTTTT